TAAGGGGTTGGGGTGCAGGGAAGGGTGTGGAGTGCGGGAGGGGGCTCAGGGCAGGGGGTTGGGGTGCAGGAGGGGTATGGGCTCCAGCCCGGCGCTGCTTACCTTGAGCGGCTCTGGGGTGGCAGCAGTACGCAGCGGGGCTAAGGCAGGCTCCCTGCCTGCCCTGGCCCCACGCTGCTCCTAGAAGCTGCTGGCACCACATCCCTGGGGAAAGGTGGAGGGGCAGAGGGCTCCGTGCACTGCCCTCGCCTGTGGGTACCTACCCCACAGCTCCCATTGGCTGCAGTTTCCCGGTCCCAGCCAATGGGAGCTGCAGGGGGGGTGGTGCCTGCAGGCGAGGGCAGCGCGCAGAGCCCTCTGCCCTCCCCTCCTCCAGGGGCTGCAGGGATGTGGTGCCGGCCACTTCTGGGAGTGGTGTGGGGCCAGGGCAGGCAGGGAGCCTGCCTTAGCCCTGCTGCACCATGGGGCTGGCAATCCCGTGGGCCAGATCCAAAGCCCTGACAGGCCAGATCCGGCCTGCAGGACATAGTTTGCCCACCCCAATCTAAGACATGTAATTGCAAACTCCAGAGATTCGCGGTATAGGTCAGAAGGGAGTTCTGAGCGAAGATATTATTTTTATGTTAGCTGAGAAGAATAATACTTTAGATATTACAGGTGGTGCATGTGCTCTTTTGGGTCTTTAAGAACAGTGTCTTCACCTTTATCAGGCCCTTCTTCACAGTTCCATCTGATCCAGTCTATCTTGGCAACATCAGCACTGATGGATGAAAGCTTATCTGTTTTGGCGCCCTTCACTCCGCAAGCTTTCTTGTCCGCAAGAGACACATGCCTCCTCCTGCAGGACTCTCCATTGCTACAACTGACTCCAGGCAGAGCAGCTTGGGTGTCTCCGCCTGCATGAGCAGTGCCTTCGGCACAACAGGCACTGCTGACGCACTTGACGCTGCCAGCTCCTTCAATGTTGTCTGCACAGAGAGCACCGGCTCCCCACACCATCATGCTGGCACTGCCAGCACCAGTCGTCTTATTGCTATCCCAATGACCTTGACCCTTCCTTTCTTTGGATCCCCAGGTTTGTCCCATACCCAGACCACCTCGGACCCTCACATGGACTGCTCCTCCCTTTTCTGAAGAAATCTATGTTTCTTCTTCAGGATCTGAAAGGAAGGAGCCCATAATTCAAAATGATCTGGACAAAGTGGAGAAATGGTCTGAAGTAAATAGGATGAAATTCAATAGGGACAAATGCAAAGTACTCCACCTAGGAAGGAACAATCAGTTGCACACATACAAAATGGGAAATGACTGCCTAGGAAGGAGTACTGTGGAAAGGGATCTGGGGGTCATAGTGGACCACAAGCTAAATATGAGTCAACAGTGTAATGCTGTTGCAAAAAAAAGCAAACATCTTTCTGGGATGTATTAGCAGGAGTGTTGTAAGCAAGACATGAGAAGTAATTCTTCCGCTCTACTCCACGCTGATTAGGCCTCAGCTGGAGTATTGTGTCCAGTCCTGGGTGTCACATTTCAGGAAAGACGTGGACAAATTGGAGAAAGTCCAGAGAAGAGCAACAAAAATGATTAAAGGTCTAGAAAATATGATCAATGAGGGAAGACTGAAAAAATTGGGTTTGTTTAGTCTGGAAAGGAGAAGACAGAGGGGACATAACAGTTTTCAAGAACATAAAAGATTGTAACAAGGAGGAGGAAGAAAAATTGTTCTTCTTAACCTCTGAGGATAGGACAAGAGGCAATGGGCTTAAATTGCCACAAGGGAGGTTTAGGTTGGACATTAGGAAAAACTTCCTAACTGTCAGGGTGGTTAAGCACTGGAATAAACTGCCTAGGGAGGTTGTGGAATCTCCATCCCTGGAGATTTTTAAGAGCAGGTTCGACAAACATCTGTCAGGAATGGTCTAGATAATACTTAGTCCTGCCATGAGCGCAGGGGACTGGACTAGATGACCTCTCGAGGTCCTTTCCAGTCGTATTATTCTATGATATCACCTTCAAGATCTTTTAGATCAGTTGTTCTCAACTAGGAGTATGTGTGCCCCTGGGGGTATGCAGAGGTCTTCCAGAGGGTACATCAACTCGTCTAGGTATTTGCCTAATTTTACAAGGCAACATAAAAAGGACTAGCGAAGTCAGTACAAATTAAAATTTCATACAGACAATGACGTATTTATGTTGTTCTATATACTATACACTGAAATGTAAGTACAATATTTATATTCCAATTGATTTATTTTATCATTATATGGTAAAAAAAAGAAAGTCAGCTATTTTTCAGTAATAATGATACTTTTGTATTTTTATGTCTGATTTTGTAAGCAAATAGTTTTTAAGTGAGATGAAACTTTGGGGTATGCAAGATAAATCAGACTCCTGAAAGGGGAGATGTTGGGGGGGATTTTTGAACCCCCCTTTTTTTGATCCTCTTTAAGACCTTTTAGGGGGGTTTTGGGGTCTAGAAGAGCGGGGCGGAGGGATTGGGGCCCCCCCCCCCCCCTCCCCTTTCAATAATTTCCTTCCCTGGCGGATGGTTTGGTTGGACAAAAAAAAAACAACCAAACAAAAAAAAAAATATATATATATAGACAGTTATTTTTTTTGTTGGTTGTATTTTTTGTATGAAGAGAGGGAAAAAAAAAAAAACATAACCCCTTTTTTTTGGGGGGGGGGGCGCCCCCCCCCCTGCGTTGGGTTTGTTTTTTTGGTTGGTGGGTTTCTTGGTGAGCCCCATGTCCAATCCAACAACATCAGTGTATTTCTGCCTTCAGCTCCTGGGTCCCAATGGTCTCATGCACATACATAACTCTGAATACCAGATGGAACCTTTGCTGTCTGCAGGCCTGACTCGATTCAGTATATCATCCCTCCAGGCACCCTCTGGACACGCAGATATATATATGGACAAGTATTTCAGTCTCTGGATTAGCAGTTGGATCCATGAAACATGTGCAAAAGGAGTGTCATTTCTGTGCCCAGAACTGACTGTTGCTGGTAACAGATGTGTCTGCCAAAAGTTGAGGGGCCCATCTTGGTCAACTTCAGGCACAAGCTCTTTGATCACCCTGAGAAGTTTCACTTCATATAAATGTGCTGTAACATTGAGCTACTCATACACCCTGTGAGATGTTTATGTCCACCATCAAAAATCAGGTGATACAAATTCTTATGGACAACACCACTGCCATGTTTTAGCTAAACATGAAGGGAGGTGAAACATAGTCTCAGCTATGCCAGGAAACTATTCCTTTCAGGAGTGAGAAACACATCAGTAGATTCCTTCAGCAGTGTTTTCATAGACCAACACAAGTGGCCAATTGGAAAGGATGTTATCCAGCAGATTTTCCACTACTGGAGATACCCAGTAATAGACTTGTTCATGACTAACCTGAAGAACAAGTGCATGAGGTTTTGCTCCAAGGTGGATTGCAGCCTGGGCTTCATTACAGAAGCCTGGCTTCTCCCTTGTTCCAGTCACTTTCTATATGCATTCCATCCAGTTCCTCTCATTCCAGAGGTAATCAGGAAACAGAAAAGAGACATTTAATCATTGTAGCACCAGCATGGCTGAGCAGTATTAGTTCACAGATTTACATCAACTTGCCATCTGATCACTGATAACTTTACTCAGATTTCCTGCCTCAGAAGCAGGGCAGCTCTCTGCATCCCAACCTCCAATCTCACCACATCGCTGAATGGATGATCTCTAGTTAAATTTTCATGAGAAATTGTGTTCAAAAGAAACAACGAGGAGTCCTCATGGCACTATCTTGATGAGCAACAGAAAAGAATCCACTAGAACCAGATACACAGCAAAGTGGAAGCAATTTTTGATTTGGGTGCAATCTCAGCATTTATCGCCTCATCACAGGTGCAGCACATGTATAACCTCTGGATGATCTGTTGAACCTGAAATCATCAGGCCTTTCAATTCATTTGTAAGAGAACACTTCAGCTGCCAGTAAAGGGGTTTTCCATTTTCTCTCACCATTTCCTGATTCTTGAAAGGGCTAGTCAATGTTTACCTTCCTCTTTCTGATCCTGTACCTGCATGCGATCTCAATCTAATCCTCTCCAAAATTACAGGCTTTCTGCCTTTGAACCTATGGCTACAACCTCACTACATGTATTGTCTGTGAAAACTGAGTTTCTGATCACAATCACTTCTGCAAGGAAGGTTTCAGAATGTCAAGCTCTCCTGGTTGACCTTCCTTTCACATAAAGACAAGATTTCCCCTAGGCCACACCCTAAGTATATATGTGCTTTCCATCTGAATGAAACGATTAATCTTCCAGCATTTTTCCTGAAGCTCTATTCTTCCAAAACTGAAGAAAGACCTTGGATGTTCGTATAGCTTTAGCATTCTATCTGAACTGCACTAGGTCCTTTAGCAGCTCTTCCAGTTTGTAGGCTAAACTGAGCTTTAGGGGTCAATCAGTGTCACACTGTCAGCTCAGCAGATCTCACATTGGATTTCTAACTGCATTAAGCTGTGCTACAACCTTTCTAAAGTCTATCGTCCACTGAGAATAATGGCTCACTCCACCAGGGCTCAGTCTGCTTCATCAGCCTTTCTGAGACATTACGCCACCACTCAAGCCTCTTGTAATGATGCAAACTTCTGCAAATTGGGGTAACAATTTGTTCAGATGATCCAAAGTCCCTCTACCTGTAAGGGAACTGCTGATGAGTCACTTGCAGTGGGATGTATATGTGCATAATCACTGGAAGGAGAAAAAACAGTTACTCCCCTCTAAACTTTTTTTTTTTCCCAAATGTTTTGTGAAGGTGTACTTCCCCCCCCCTCCCCCCCCCCCCCCCCCCCGGTTTTTAAATAAAAAAAAGGGGGGGGGGAGGGGGGGGGGGGGGGTGGGGTGCCCCCCTCTTTGCTGCGGGGGGGAGGGGGGGAGGAGGGGGGGGGGGGGGGGCCCCCCCCCGGTGGGGGGGGGGGGGGCCCCCCGGGGGGGGGCTTGGGGCTCTCACAATATACCTGCAGTGGCGTATACATGTGCACAACAGATTTCGAAGAACAGCAGTTACTATACAGGTAAGTAAGCATTTTTTTCTTTTAAAGTAGAACTGTTGGGATTTTTTGTACAGGATGATAATACTTTGCACTCTGTGACAGGGTCGGGCCAGATGGCTACAGGAGAGTAATAGAAGGCAGATATATTAGCTCCAGGCTAAGTAGGTCTCTTTTCCCTGGGTAAGGTAACAGGGAAGGTTCCAAAATAATCAGGAACCTTCTGGAGACAATTAAGACAGACAGGCTGATTAGAACACCTGCAGCCAATCAAGAAGCTGCTGGAACCAATTAAGGCAGGCTAATCAGGGCACCTGGAGTTTTAAAAAGGCGCTCACTTCAGTTTGTGGTGTGCGTGTGAGGAGCTGGGAGCAAGAGGCACTAGGAGCTGAGAGTGAGAACGCGGACTGTTGGAGGACTGAGGTGTACAAGCATTATCAGACGCCAGCAGGAAGATCCTATGGTGAGGATAAAGAAGGTGTTGGGAGGAGGCCATGGGGAAGTAGCCCAGGGAGTTGTAGCTGTCACACAGCTGTTCCAGGAGGCACTCTAGACAGCTACATTCCACAGGGCCCTGGGCTGGAACCCGGAGTAGAGGGCGGGCCTGGGTTCCCCCCCAAATCCTCCCAAGTCCTGGTCAGACACAGGAGTCGTCGACCTGGACTGTGGGTTCAGAAAAACAGCCAAGCTGAGGGCTGCCATGAAGCTCCAAGATGAGCAAATCCGCCAATAAGCACAAGACCCACCAAGGTAGGGGAGGAACTTTGTCACAACTCCTATAACACCTTTAATCAAAGCACTTTGCAAAGATGAGCTAGTATTATCTCTACTTTACAAATGGGGAGAGAGAGATTTTCAAAGCACAGATGACAGGTAGGCTGCCTAACTCCTATTGACTTTCAATGAGAATTTGGCACCTACCTGCCATTTGTACCTTTTGAGAATTTCCCCCAGAAATGTTACCTGACATGTCCAAGGTCACCCAGTGAAGGATAAAATCTACAATGTCCCTCTTTCAGCCTGTGCTGAATTCATTAGACATGGAGGTAGTAGCACAATGTCATCACTTATGTTGGAATTCTGCTAGAAGCTAAACTGTTTCAAAAAGTACTAAGGAACCTGTAAAGACCACAGACGGTCAGAACCTCAGATTTCCATCTCATCTGAAGACAGCACCTTCAGCAACAGATTGCCTCTGACACATGCTGGGAAATTGGTTCAATGCCGACTCTCTGATGTATCTTTGCTGAATAAGGACAGACTTAAGCATGTGCTTAAGGATAAGCACATACTTTGCTGAACTGGAGCCTTAGATATAATGCTGAAAGAAAATATAACCAGTCGTGAGATCGGCATGTCAGGGGATTTATTACAGCATTGTGTATTGTTGCTCTTAGTGTAATGACAGCAAATATCCATCAGGTGGCACAAGTATATAAATCATGATTCAACTGAGTGTTCTCTTCCATTCCTGCAATGCTTAGTACACTCAGGTACTGTTTTCAAAATTTGCTTCCACTGCTGCTGACTCAGGTGCTGCATTTAGCATGTTGACGTGTCTGGGCATGTGTTTTGGGTTACACTCACAACAGAATTCAGAAGCAGTACAGAACTGTGTACAAGCCACACTTAACACTTTGGAAAGCTCTTCCAAAGAAAGCTTAAGTGTAAAATAGTATTCCTAGAGCAAAATGTTAAGGTTGTCAGTGTACAATACCAGTGTAATAACATCAGTGTAATAATTATATCATTATTATTATTTATTATTTTATTTGTATTGTGGTAGTACCTAAGTCTCCAGTCAGGATTGGGCCCCCTTTGTGCTAGGTGATATACAAACACAAGAAGATACAATCCTTGCTTTGAAGATTGTGTTTGAAGAGCTTGAAATCTAATTGTAGTCTGAAAAAACACGAGCATCTGAGAGCCAGGGGAAATTCATTGTTATTATTACATTTAAATACAAAAATGCAAATGCATTGTTACAGTACTCCGCCACACATATAGCCATCTATCTAGGTGTGTATGTGGTCCTCACCACCATAGACTCTGAGTACCCCCCTATTAGCTTTGTCTTAGCCCTGGTCTACACTAGGACTTTAGGTCGAATTTAGCAGCGTTAAATCGATGTAAACCTGCACCCGTCCACACAATGAAGCCCTTTATTTCGACTTAAAGGGCTCTTAAAATCAATTTCCGTACTCCACCCCTGACAAGTGGATTAGCGCTTAAATCGGCCTTGCCGGGTCGAATTTGGGGTACTGTGGGGTACTATTGGCCTCCGGGAGCTATCCCAGAGTGCTCCATTGTGACCGCTCTGGACAGCACTCTCAACTCAGATGCACTGGCCAGGTAGACAGGAAAAGAACTGCGGACTTTGAATCTCATTTCCTGTTTGGCCAGCGTGGCAAGCTGCAGGTGACCATGCAGAGCTTATCAGCAGAGGTGACCATGATGGAGTCCCAGAATCGCAAAAGAGCTCCAGCATGGACCGAACGGGAGGTACGGCATCTGATCGCTGTATGGGGAGAGGAATCCGTGCTATCAGAACTCCGTTCCAGTTTTCGAAATGCCAAAACCTTTGTCAAAATCTCCCAGGGCATGAAGGCCAGAGGCCATAACAGGGATCCGAAGCAGTGCCGCGTGAAACTTAAGGAGCTGAGGCAAGCCTACCAGAAAACCAGAGGGGCGAACGGCCGCTCCGGGTCAGAGCCCCAAACATGCTGCTTCTATGATGAGCTGCATGCCATTTTAGGGGGTTCAGCCACCACTACCCCAGCCGTGTTGTTTGACTCCTTCAAAGGAGATGGAGGCAACATGGAAGCAGGTTTTGGGGACGAAGAAGATGATGATGATGATGAGGTTGTAGATAGCTCACAGCAAGCAAGCGGAGAAACCAGTTTTCCCGACAGCCAGGAACTGTTTCTCACCCTGGACCTGGAGCCAGTACCCCCCGAACCCACCCAAGGCTGCCTCCTGGACCCGGCAGGCGGAGAAGGGACCTCCGGTGAGTGTACCTTTTAAAATACTATACATGGTTTAAAAGCAAGCATGTGAAAGGATTAATTTGCCCTGGCATTCGCGGCTCTCCTGGATGTACTCCCAAAGCCTTTGCAAAAGGTTTCTGGGGAGGGCAGCCTTATTGCATCCTTCATGGTAGGACACTTTACCACTCCAGGCCAGTAACACATACTCGGGAATCACTGTACAACAAAGCATTGCAGTGTATGTTTGCTGGTGTTCAAACAACATCCAGTCTTTACCTCTCTGTGTTATCCTCAGGAGAGTGAGATATCATTCATGATCTCCTGGTTGAAATAGGGTGCTTTTCTTCAGGGGACATTCAGAGGAGCCCGTTCCTGCTGAGCTGTTTGCCTGTGGCTGAACAGAAATGTTCCCCACTGTTAGCCACGGGGAGGGAGGAGGGTTGAGGGGGTAGCCACGCGGTGGGGGGAGGCAAAATGCGACCTTGTAACGAAAGCACATGTGCTATGTATGTAATGTTAACAGCAAGGTTTACCCTGAAAGACTGTAGCCACTGTTTTATAAAATGTGTCCCTTTTTTTTTTCTCCACCAGCTGCATGTGTTTCAATGATCACAGGATCTTCTCCTTCCCAGAGGCTAGTGAAGCTTAGAAAGAAAAAAAAACGCACTCGTTATGAAATGTTCTCTGAGCTCATGCTGTCCTCCCACACTGACAGAGCACAGACAAATGCGTGGAGGCAAATAATGTCAGAGTGCAGGAAAGCACAAAATGACAGGGAGGAGAGGTGGCGGGCTGAAGAGAGTAAGTGGCGGGCTGAAGACAGGGCTGAAGCTCAAATGTGGCGGCAGCGTGATGAGAGGAGGCAGGATTCAATGCTGAGGCTGCTGGAGGACCAAACCAGTATGCTCCAGTGTATGGTTGAGCTGCAGCAAAGGCAGCTGGAGCACAGACTGCCACTACAGCCCCTGTGTAACCAACCGCCCTCCTCCCCAAGTTCCATAGCCTCCACACCCAGACGCCCAAGAACGTGGTGGGGGGCCACCGGCCAACCAGCCACTCCACCACAGAGGATTGCCCAAAAAAAAGAAGGCTGGCATTCAATAAATTTTAAAGTTGTAAACTTTTAAAGTGCTGTGTGGCATTTTCCTTCCCTCCTCCACCACCCCTCCTGGGCTACCTTGGTAGTCATTCCCCTATTTGTGTGATGAATGAATAAAGAATGCATGAATGTGAAGCAACAATGACTTTATTGCCTCTGCAAGCAATGATTAAAGGGAGGAGGGGAGGGTGGTTATCTTGCAGGGAAGTAGAGTGAACCAAGGGGCGGGGGGGTTTCATCAAGGAGAAACAAACAGAACTTTCACACCGTAGCCTGGCCAGTCATGAAACTGGTTTTCAAAGCTTCTCTGATGCGTACCGCGCCCTCCTGTGCTCTTCTAACCACCCTGGTGTCTGGCTGCGCGTAACCAGCAGCCAAGCGCGTAACCAGCAGCCAAGCGATTTGCCTCAACCTCCCACCCTGCCATAAACGTCTCCCCCTTACTCCCCAAGAATAACTATAGGCATTTCAATCTCCCCAACGGTTATTTTGGTCTGGGAAGAAAGTCCCTTCCTGCAGCTTTTGAAACAGACCAGAGTTCCTGAAGATGCGAGCGTCAGGTACCTTTCCCGGCCATCCTACGTTGATGTTGGTGAAACGTCCCTTGTGATCCACCAGGGCTTGCAGCACTATTGAAAAGTACCCCTTGCATTTTATGTACTTGCCGGCTTGGTGCTCCGGTGCCAAGATAGGGATATGGGTTCCGTCTATGGCCCCACCACAGTTAGGGAATCCCATTGCAGCAAAGCCATCCACTATGACCTGCACATTTCCCAGGGTCACTACTCTTGATATCAGCAGATCTTTGATTGTTTGGGCTACTTGCATCACAGCAGCCCCCCCACAGTAGATTTGCCCACTCCAAATTGATTCCCAACTGACCGGTAGCTGTCTGGCGTTGCAAGCTTCCACAGGGCTATCGCCACTCGCTTCTCAACTGTGAGGGCTGCTCTCATCTTGGTATTCATGCGCTTCAGGGCAGGGGAAAGCAAGTCACAAAGTTCCATGAAAGTGCCCTTATGCATGCGAAAGTTTCGCAGCCACTGGGAATCGTCCCAGACCTGCAACACTATGCGGTCCCACTAGTCTGTGCTTGTTTCCTGAGCCCAGAATCGGCGTTCCACAGCATGATCCTGCCCCATTAGCACCATGATGCATGCATTGGCAGGGCCCATGCTTTCAGAGAAATCTGTGTCCATGTCCTGATCACTCACGTGACCGCGCTGACGTCACCTCCTCGCCCAGTATTGCTCTGTCAGGTTCTGGTGCTGCATATACTGCTGGATAATGCGTGTGGTGTTTAATGTGCTCCTAATTGCCAAAGTGAGCTGAGCGGCCTCCATGCTTGCCTTGGTATGGCGTCCGCACAGAAAAAAGGCGCGGAACAATTGTCTGCCGTTGCTCTGACAGAGGGAGGGACGACTGACGACATGGCTTACAGGGTTGGCTTCAGGGAGCTAAAATCAACAAAGGGGGTGGCTTTACATCAAGGAGTATTTCAGGCAGGACTTCACGGAGGGTTCCAAAAAGAAAAGGTGCACCTAAGTTATTGTTCTTATTGGAACAAGGAGGTTAGTCTGGCCTCTGATTGATACATGGCTAGATTTACCTCGCTGCACCTTCTCTGTGAGTGACTGCAGTGTGACCTAGAGGAATGAGTCCCCTAGACGGGGGAGAGGGGGAAGCAAATGAGTACAAAACAAATCTGGTCTATTTCTTGTTTTGATCCATTCCATCTATCTTTTACATTTTGGCTGTCAGCAGACGGTGCAGAAGGACTGCATGCCATCCACATCTTATGGCTGCCCGGCAGAAGATGGTACAGTACGACTGCTAGCAATCCGTATCACCTGCCTGCTCACCATAAGACGGTTCAATAGGACTGACTGCAGGACTAAAGAGAATGACCTGGTCAAGTCACTCCAAATTTAGTCCCTGCGCCCATGTCTGCCCAGGTGCTCCTGGCCGACGTGGCCAGGAGCACCTCGGACATGATGATGACGGCTACCAGTCGTACTGTACTGTCTGCTGCCACAAGGCAAGGGGTTGATGCTGCTATGTAGCAATGCAATACCACGTCTGCCAGCACCCAGGAGACATAGGGTGACAGTTACCTGAGCGGGCTCCATGCTTGCCGTGGTATGGCGTCTGCACAGGTAACTCAGGAAAAAAGGCGTGAAATGAAACCTGCCCTTGCTTTCACGGAGGGAGGGAGGGAACAGGGGCCTGATGATATGTACCCAGAACCACCCGCGACAATGTTTTAGCCCCATCAGAGTGCTCCATTGTGACTGCTGTGGACAGCACTCTCAACTCAGATGCACGATTGTTTGCCGTTGCTCTGACACAGGGAGGGGCGACTGAGGACACGGCTTACAGGGTTGGCTTCAGGGAGTTAAAATCAACAAAGGGGGTGGCTTTACATCCAGGAGTATTTCAGGCAGGACTTCACGGAGGGTTCCAATAAGAAAAGGTGCACCTAAGTTATTGTTCTTATTGGAACAAGGAGGTTAGTCTGGCCTCTAATTGATACATGGCTAGATTTACCTCGCTGCACCTTCTCTGTGAGTGACTGCAGTGTGACCTAGAGGAATGAGTCCCCTAGACAGGGGAGGGGGGGAAGCAAATGAGTACAAAACAAATTTGGTCTATTTCTTGTTTTGATCCACTCCATCTATCTTTTACATCTTTGGCTGTCAGCAGACGGTGCAGAAGGACTACATGCCATCCACATCTCTTGCCTGCCCGGCAGAAGATGGTGCAATATGACTGCTATCCATCCTCATCTCTTGCCTGCCCGGCAGAAAATGGTACAGTACGACTGCTAGCAATCCGTATCACCTGCCTGCTCACCATAAGACGGTTCAATAGGACTGACTGCAGGACTAAAGAGAATGACCTGGTCAAGTCACTCCAAATTTAGTCCCTGCACCCATGTCTGCCCAGGCGCTCCTGGCCGATGTGGCCAGTAGCACCTCGGACATGACGATGATGGCTACCAGTCATATTGCACCGTCTGCTGCCAGAAGGCAATGGGTTGCTGCTACTGTGTAGCAACGTAGTACCGCGTCTGCCAGCACCCAGGAGACATATGGTGACGGTTACCTGAGCGGGCTCCATGCTTGCCGTGGTATGGCGTCTGCACAGGTAACTCAGGAAAAAAGGCGTGAAACGATTGTCTGCCCTTGCTTTCACGGAGGGAGGGAGGGAACGGGGGCCTGACAATATGTACCCAGAACCACCCGCGACAATGTTTTAGCCCCATCAGGCATTGGGATCTCAACCCAGAATTCCAATGGGCAGCGGAGACTGCGGGAACTGTGGGATAGCTACCCACAGTGCAACACTCCGGAAGTCGACGCTTGCCTCGGTACTGTGGAAGCACTCCACCGAGTTAATGCACTTAATGCACTTAGAGCATTTTCTGTGGGGACACACACACTCGAATATATAAAATCGATTTCTAAAAACCCGACTTCTATAAATTCTACCTAATTCCGTAGTGTAGACATACCCTTAGTTTCCTGACTCCATGGAAGGTAATTATGTGTCTAAAACAGTGGTTCTCAAATTTCATTGTACTATGATCCCATTCTGACAACAAAAATGACTACGGGACCCCAAAAGGGAGGACCAAAGCCTGAGCTCGCCTGAGCCCCGCCGCCCCAGATGGAGGGGCCAAAGTCAAAGTCTGAGCCCCACTGACCTGGACGGATGACCTGTAACCTGAGCCTCACTGCCCAGGGCTGAAGCCCTGGGGCTTCAGCTTTGGCTGTGGGGCTTGGGCTTTGGCCATGGGCCCCAGCAAGTCTACCTTCCATTCTGATGACCCCATTAAAACAGGGTCGAGACCCACAGTTTGAGAACCGCTGGTCTAAAACCAGGTATCAAAGTACAGCTAAATTATGGACCAGATCTTCAGCTGGTGTAAGTTGGCACAGGTCTCCACCGATTTTTAGCTGAAGTCAATGGAGTTTTGCTGATTTAGCAGAGGATCTGCCCTGACATCTTAAAATCTGGATACTGGGTTTGTCCCAGCATCTGGGAATATTAACTCCATGCACTGCAGACTTTCACCTGTGAACATCTTAAATCATGCTCAACATGGTTTACTTAGCAGGGTATATTTAGCCTAACTGTAGGCATTTGCTAGGCTTCAGATGTCTGCATCTGCAGGGTGCTCAACCACTGTGAAAAATAAAAGTTTAAAATGGCTGTGGCAGCTCCAGGGTTTGATATTGGAGGAGTTTATTAGGAAGGAGGGATGGCTGTTTTATAGGTCATGGATATAGGTGCGGTATACTGGTGCTGTCAAAACCTTTCAGCTTGAGGGACAAACACTTTATTACAAAAAGGGAATGGGATTGCACTCAATATCTGGGGGCAGGTTCTGTGTCCTGCTCTGCTCCCTTTGCACCTTCAGGCAGAAAGGGAGCAGAAACCACACACAAGTCCCCTGCTTGGGATTTCCCCCAGAATTCCTGTGGAGTCACCTGTGGCAAAAAGCCATCATAGGCAGCTGTCCCAGTGCCCTCTCTGCAGCCATTGGTGTAGCAGGCATGTTGAGGGTAGACAGGGGATTGGCTGGAGCAGCCCGCAGGTTACTTGTTCTAAGCTGGTCTGGGGAAGAGAATCAAGGAGACAGAAGTGACTGTTGGTTCTTCTAGCTTCTCTTGTTTATTCACTTCTCCTGGGGTGCCCTATGGCACCAATGTGGGAAAGGGAAAGGAGTCAACCTCTGCTAAGTGCTCCTCTGGGCAAACTCCTGTTTTGCTTTTGGGGGCTCGATGGCAGGTGAGATTCCTATTTCCTCCTGGTAACCATGGGGCTAACTCTCAAACACATTCATTAAAAAACTGCAGGGGCAGATCAGGAAATGTATTTTCATTCATATCAAATGCACATTTTCATAGATTCATAGAAACTAAGGTCAGAAGGGACCATTATGATCATCTAGTCTGACCTCCTGCACAATGCATTTTCTTAATATTGTCATCCTTGAGCACCACAGGTTGGACACTACTGAAGTATGCTAATAATAGTCAGTATAACTTTGTTAAAAAAAGAATTAGATAAGTTCATGGGGGATAGTTCCATCAATGGCTATTAGCTAAGATGGTCAGGGATGCAACCCCCACACTGGGCGTTCCTAGGCCTCTGACTGCCAGGTGCTGGGAGCAGATCACAGGGGATGGATCACTTGAGGTGTACTGTTCATTCCCTCAGAGGAATTTGGTATTGGCCACTGTCAGAAGACAGGATACCAGGATAGATGGACAATTGTTCTGATCCAATAGGGCCGTTCTTATGGCTCCATATTAATTTCTTACTAATTTACATTTGCTCGGTTTGCAAGAATTAAGATATCTTGGGGTTTTTTTTTACTGCCGTCCCTGCAAACTCACTCTGAGCTCTGACCGTCAAACCAGATTATTTCCATCCATCATTCTCACACTGACATTACTTTTAAATAGATTTGCAGCGGTGTCACTGGGCATAATCTCCAATATACAGTGGGACACCAATCTTGGTTGGGGCCTCTGGGCACTACTGTAATAGTAAATTAACGTGGGTGCATAATAATAATAGAGGTTTTATAGATGAGGGCATAATTTGGCCTACAGACAAGTATTACGGGAGAAGATGTGCAAGATGAATAGAACCCTATTTGACCACCAGAGTTCATGGGGCTGGCAATTAACGAAAGTCTGTTTACATGCAAATAAAGGAAATGTGCTATGGAATCCGACAGTCAATGAACGCAGAAACCCACAATATTAGTTTCATAGTCATTTTAAAAAATAGAACTCTTGAAGTATTTATTAGATTCTGACAGGTTTCAGAGTAGCAGCCATGTTAGTCTGTATCTGCAAAAAGAAAATTGTGGCACCTTAGAGACTAACGAATTTATTTGAGCATAAGCTTTTGTGAGCTACATCCACTGTCAAAATGTGCCTCATCTCCCCTTTTATGGCTGGTATCATTACTTAGCCCAAGTGGCAGAGAGGTCTGTGCTGTGGATCTAAAGCTTCCAGCACTGCTGATGACCCACCTGGGAACCATATGGCTCTAAGGTGCCGCAAGTACTCATTAGATTTTGAGGAACTGTACCGGTGCGAAGGGTTTTGCACTCCTCTACTATTGAGAAGGTTGGATAACAAAGTTAATGTGCAGGGGAGAGAGGGTTTACAAATAATATTTTTAATTTCCTGTGCCTAGGGGAGGATTTAGATCCAGAGCCGCATTAGGCACCTAAATCCCTCTGAGGACCTGGGCCTTAGTGCTGGGGAAAGGTGGCAGGTGGCTGCGCTGCAGACTGACGCCGTCTAACCCTTTGCCTGCGTGGGAAAAGCCTCAACCCACCATAGAGCCCACCCCACTCAGCAGATTTACTGCGCCTGCGCCTTCAAGCAGGTCGCAAGGGAGGTGAGCGCTTCACTGCGCATGCTCCACAGAGAACCACACACTACACTTGCGCGAAGACAGCTCAGGCAAGCGCCAAAGTACGAGCACGGGGTGCAAAGCCGGAAGTGTCGCTGCGTCACGGTCCAGCGAGCGGCTGGGACTAGGCTGGAGGGGAAGTTCCGTTTCCGGTTTGGCTCACCTTACGTTCCGTAGCCAACTTCCTGCTTCTGCCGCCTCCTCAATCTTCTTCCGGGGCATTGGCGGCTGACGTTGACCGCTGACCTCCGCCCTGCTCCGCCGAGGCGGCGCTTCCTGTTGTCCGCGCGGGGGAGGCGGCCGGAGAAGAAGGTGCCACTTGCGGGGCCCGTGAGGCAGCGGGGATCATGGTGAGTGACGGGCTGCGTCCGCGCCGCGCGCCCTGCTGGGACCTCTTCCCCGCACCCTTGGGATCCCCACGCCCCCTCTGCACACAGGCCGCCCCCGCCCGGCTCCCCGCGGCCCCCTCCACCGGCCAGCCTGGGCCTTCTCTAGAGGCGGCTCCGCCCCGCTTCCCCGGCTGTGTTGTGCCGGGACCCGCGCGCCCACGTTCCTCTCAGCTGCGTCTGGGGCCATGGCGTTCGCGCAGTGACTAGCTCCGGCTCGCAAGGGGGCTGCTGCTGTGATTTGTGTTGTGTTGGAGCCTTGGACCCTGGGCCCCAGACCCTTGTGCTAGGCGCTGTACAAACGTTCTTCCCCGGCAGCGTGGAGTTCATACAGGCTCTGTGCATTTTCTCAGGGTCCCACTGTGTTCATTGTGTGCCCTTTGCCAACAGCTCCCAGGACACATGCGTGGGCCTCCCGGGAAATCCAGTTTGTTCACCCTCTCCTTGAAGCAGCGTCACATTATTTCCCTGTGCTCCTTTGCCAGTCTGGCCATCTGTTCTCTGGTGTTATATTTAGATTATAACATCTTTTGGAGAGGGACTGTGTTTTCTGAGTTTGTACAGTGCACAGTGAGGTCTTGGTCCATCCTAGGTGCAACAATAGTATACATAAGATTTAAGGCCTGGGATGGGGGACTGGGGAGATTTTGAACAAAGGTGGGCACTTCGTTCTTATTTTAATTATTTGCAAGCATTTACTAGTGCTAGTCATTTTTGTGCTAGACTGAGGCTGAACTTTTAAGTATTAGTTAACCTGTTAATCTGTTTCTCTGTCTTTTTTTTTTTTTTAGGCTCGAAATGCAGAAAAGGCTATGTAAGTACAGCTGTGAACTTGGTTATGTTTGTCATTCAAAGTGTCTGTCACAGTGCACTGCCTCTTGGTGTATGTTGCTCATCACCTTGGTAACTGAACACTTAGATGCGTTATTTAGCTATTAAGTTCTGTCCGCATGTACAGCGGTTTTAGTTCCTGCTTACCGTCTAAATGAAGTGCTTGTTTTTATTTCAGAGTAGTAGTAGTGTGTGTGTGTATATATATATATGCAAATGCATCTTTCATATATGTATTTTGATGTATGAACAGGACTGATGATCTGCTCCATGCTTGAAAGGCATTGGTATTTCATCCACACTGACTTAAATTCAAGGAACCTTGGTTAATACACAGTAATATTCCATGTTAAACATACCTGTAAAGTATAATTTGTGATGATACTCAAAGTATCAGGACTTTTGTAATACTTCCCCCCTACTTAATCAGCTGTTTTTTATGGCAATTATGGACATTACAAGATGAAAAATCATAAACCAGTGTTACTGGTTAGCCTCTGGGTTCTAGAAGTGTTACTGAAGTTAGATGTCAGATGCAGGTGTGGTAGCACTTTTAGTGGTCCTTACTGGAACAGCTGTGTTGTCTTTTTGGCTGGGCAGAGGTGAACACACAAGATTAATATTGAGCATTCAGGAGGTGAATGGTTTGAAGTATCTGCTTGCATAATCATGGCACTTGTGCCTCTTTTTCTGTCAAATTGTCTTCAGCATTGTAAATGTGAATTGATTACAGAATTGCAACCCCCCATTGGAGATGTGTGCTAATTTAGATGCTAATATATTATGAATCAATGTGGTATGTCAGTTTGATGAGCAGCACCCTTTATTCTTTGCATGGCCTGTTAGTGTTGCACAAAGTACTTTGTCCTGTGAGAGTTACTTAGCTCATTGCAAAGCGAGGAAAGTGTTTTGTTCTTGGGTTTTTAATTTACAGGAAACTAACATAGGAGTAGCCTGAAGTTACACTGCCATGCAACCAAGGCTTAGTTCAGTCCTTCACTGCCACGATGGGAGGACTGCAGCATTATCATGTTTATGCCCATACCCTTAGGAGCTGTTTCTTCTGTCTCAAGCAACTGTGTCCTCTTTAGCTCACTAGAGGAGAACCAATCTGAAGTAACCTGCAGTCATCTTGGCTAGAGTCAGGGGTGCTATAACTTTGGTTATGGGGGACAGTGGAGGGATGGGTTTTTGCAGAATCCCTTGGTAGTAGTGGTGGGAGAGATACTTAAAGAAATTTTTAGACATACCTATTTTTAAAAACAAACAAGCTATGTATATTAATCAGCCACAGAACGTACGGAGACTCTTCCTGAGCTGTTGAGAAATATTATTGAAATGTTTCTTTAAAATGAACAAGCTTGATGTACTTGTCTCCCTCTGCCTCCCCAGCAGGCTGTTGGTACTTCTAATACTAACACAAAATTCATGGCTGGGTGACTGCACTGGTGACTGGTGGCTTCTTCAATGTTGGAATGTTCTTAATGGAAACAGTAGTTATCATTTTATTTTTTGAAAGCCTATATATAATATAGGTGTATCCATGCAGAACTTAACCAGTTAAGTCCTTTGAAAACCTTGGTTTAGAAAATCACTGCTGTTAGAATGAAGAGGTTTTAAAAGTAAACTAATTTCCTTTCTTCCTTTCAGGACAGCCTTGGCGAGATTTCGCCAAGCTCAGCTTGAGGAAGGAAAAGTTAAGGTAGGCTGGAGAAAAATAGGTCTTCTATGTTGGTTTTTAAATGAATAACCAAGAAATTAGTCCTCACCTATCAGCACATAATGCAAAGCCACATGCAGTGCTGCTTCAACAACTGCGAGCAGAAGGAATGTGACCTATGTAATTGCTGCACAAGGGCTAAGGTGGTCACCAGGAAAGGGGCTTAAATTAGGAGAAGCTCTGGAAAGCAGTATGGCAACAAAACCCACAAGTAACAGTTATTGCTGCGGAAGGGTTGAAAAACTGTTCTGGAGAGGCATACAGTGGACCATGCTTAAATCAACTTCTAATACTGTAGATAGTCCATATGGCCAAAGCCAAGTTGGCATTTCACAGTAGAAGCAATATACCTTGATATTGGAAGAATAACAGAGATACCAGCAAGGTCATTCAGAAGGCAATTCTAAAAATGTAGTGATAGAGATTTCCTTCTGCTAACTGAGTGTACATTCATTGTCATTGGTTTTGATCATGGGCTTTGTTTGGCTTCTTTCCCAGTTAGCTCAGGAGAGCTAGAAAAGCCCTTTTATAATCTTTTCACTTCCCTAGTATTGTACTACCAAAGTAGCGACCCCTAAGCATTCCACTTCAAGGGCTAATCCAAACTCCGGGCTTGCACATAACACAGCATGCTGTGCCATTATTCAGCCATGTGGTGTCTTCTATCACATCTATGCTTAAATTTAACCATGCATGGTAGGAGAAACTTTTAACCCTCAAATCAAGTTAGATTGGCACATGACTTGAAAAATTGTTGGTCAGTGGCTTTGCGTAAAACACGGGTCAAAAGGTTGGATTCTGAAACTAAAAAAGGACCCATTATCTTAGGCCCTGATTCTTAACTGACTCCCCAGGTGAAGCCATGCATTGACTCCACTGGAGCTCTGTGTGGGTGCAGGAGTCCAATCTCTTCAGGTGAATTGCAAGATCAGGTCAATGGAAGGATTTGGATCAATGTTTATTTCTCAAAATGAGGACAAGTTTCTTGTTTGGAGTAAGTGTTTTTTCAGAAGGAAACACACAACCTACTAAAGGGCTTTGTTCTGAGTTACAATTTTGCATCTTTTCCCCGAGTACTGATACATTTATAAACTCCGAGGAGGACAAGATAGAGCAGTGGTTCTCAAACTGTGAGTCGCGACCCCATTTTAATGGGGTCGTCAGGGCTGTCTTAGACTTGCTGGGGCCCAGGGCCAAAGCCCAAGCCTGAGGGCATCAGCCCTGGGTGTTGGGGCTAAGGTTACAGGTCCCCGGCCTGGGGCTGAACCACTTGAGCTTCGGCTTTGGCTCTCTGGCCTAGGGCAGTAGGGCTTTGACTATGGCCCCCACCCCTGGGTCCTGTAGTAATTTTTGTTGTCAGAAGAGGGTTGCGGTGCAATGAAGTTTGAGAACCCCTGATATAGAGTAATGCAGTAGGAAACAGTGGCTATTGCAGATAAACTTTGAACAGGTGGCTTTTCAGGAGTTTCCTAGAGGAAGGGATGATGTGTTTTGGGGGTTGGGGGACACACACTAATTGGGAGTCTGTTCCAAACATAAGGGGAGACATAAATTATGTGAAAGTAAGGCCTGGAAGGAGTGTAAGAAGTGGGAGTAAGAGGAGCTGTAGGGGCAAATATGTAAGTAGGGAGACTTGAAGGTGAGGAATACTATGAATGTATGTATGGAATAACAGATGTTAATGGAAGGATGCAAACAAAGGTAGTGAAGTGGCTAGTGGCAGGAAAGGAAAATGATTTTTGTAACAGTTTTTTGAATGAACTGGAAGGGTAAGAGGCCATGGAGTTGGAAGCTGTCGTTGTTAATGCAGAAAACTAGGACATGGACTGGAATATTAGCAACAGCAATAGAAAGGAAGGGATAAACTTTATAGATGTAGAGAAGCAATGGAATGGACTAGGTGTGGGCAGAGGAGTCAAAAGTGATGCTACGCTTGAGTCACACTGACTAGAGCATTGCTGGTGATGAAGAATGGAGAGAATAGGGTTTGGAGAATGGAGGGAAAAGGGTTTGAATGGAAAGACGACAGGCTCTACTTGTACATGCTGGGCTTGAATTGGTGGCTGTGTTCAGTGGTTAAATGGAATTTATTTCATCAGGGCTGTTATATTAAATCTTTAAAGATGGGATGGGAACACAGGAAACTCAAGTAAGGAGGCACGAGTGGCTGATTTGCCTGGGACTAATCCAGGAACAACTAGGCCATGTTACACTCAGAGCATGAAATATCAGTTGCTTTGGAAACATGTGAAGCTTCAATATTAGGTGGTTTGAAGCTTTACAATGTACATGTCTTTCTCCCAAACAGGAGCGAAGACCTTTTCTTGCATCAGAATGTAATGAGTTGCCGAAAGCTGAGAAATGGAGACGTCAGGTATGCATCGCATATCTAGGCAGTGAACGTCAGGCTTTTCTAATTCTGTAGAGGATGGACTGATAAATAATCAAAATATGCATAATTTTAGCAAAATATTTATACAGTCAAAATTAATGAGATAATTGTACTGAACACTGAACTAAATCTAATAATTTTTTTGCTGCTAGAATTGTTCTCCTTACTCATGTGTAAACAGTTAAATTAGGGATTGACTGAGGCCTGAGCTAAAATAGAGCGTGTCATATTTTAACCATAATGACCAGAAAGTTAAAGGGTAGACTGCAGGTTATTGTTAGCACAAAGGTGCAAATGTCTGTACAAAAAGGAGTCATGGATGATGCATTTCCTACTATGGATAGTTCTTTAGATAGTCATTATAAATAGTGTTTGTGCCCAAATTAAACTTTTATTAACATCTTAGTGATATTTCAAATATAAGTTCTCTTAAGCATGTAGAATGGTTTAACAGTTGAAACTACCTTGACTTCTGATTCATCAAGAAACTAATTTCTTCATAATTGTTTTTATTTAAATAGATTATTGGAGAAATTTCCAAGAAAGTGGCACAGATTCAAAATGGTGAGCATGTTTTAATTGCAGTTGATTTGTGTGAAACTTTGGTACCAATGTCAGTTAACTCTCTGCTTTAATTTAGCTGGCTATAAAATCATATTGGCTGCTGTTTTTAAGTTGTGGATCGGTCTCAAAATAGCACTGCTGGACAGTGGTCCTGGTGACTATTTTAATGCTCGATATCTGACACCATAGCAATTGTTTCTAGCAATAATGGGTTTGATGTTAAAACTGCATCATTCTATTTGCCATCTTACCTCCTTCCTTCGCATCAATTCTGGCCTGCTTTTAGTGGATGCTTTTAAGGCTATCTATGGCTAGACCTCATTTTTAAAGTGTGTGTTGGTTTGCTTAACTCTTACACTTTTTTCAGTATTTGTTGGTAAATATTTACTTTTTTAAAAATTCACAAATTAAAAATCTTTATTGCCACGGAGATTATCTGCACTAAGAAACCTGAGAGGCTATGTCAAATGCTGTTATGAACAGTTCTTGTGTCTGCTTTTATGAGGAGCTACAATAGTCCAATTAAATAGGGGAGAAAAGTCCAATATTTTATCCACCTAACTGTGCTGTTGAAGCTTGTCTTAAGGTTTCATGAATTTAGTTTTGTGAAATGATTGACGTTTAAGTGTCAGTATTCAACTACAAATATTGAAGAAAATTAAGTTAAATGACACCCAGGCATTATACATTTCATGACATGCCAGGACTAAAAATGGATAGGCCAGTGCTTTTAGGAATAATGTACTCTAAGTACTGGTCATGGACCAGTGAGCCGTCACTTTTCATCCCCATTTAAGATATTGCTTCCTGGCAGAGTGGATAAAAATGAGTTTCCTATAGGAGGGTCAGTACCTAGTCCAACTCCTTCTCCCCAAGGAGGGGCAGCGTGCTCAAGTTAAGTCTTTCGAGCCCTCAAACTGCTTGTTATGAGGCAAGACCTCTGGTTAAAGCAAGAAAAGTGCTGGGCCTCCAACAAGAGTTTGGAGAGTATTCCCCATAGGGGAACAGAGAGAAATGAGTCTTTCCGAAGTGGTTAGTGTACAGTGCCTGTAAGAACTTCATTTGTTTTATCTTGAAGCTGGTTTAGGTGAATTCAGAATTCGAGACTTGAATGATGAAATTAACAAACTTCTAAGAGAGAAGGGGCACTGGGAGGTCCGGATAAAGGAGCTGGGAGGTCCTGATTATGCAGTAAGTATAAAACAACTGTGTTGGTAAACAACATCTCTGCAGTTAACTGTGAATGGCTAGCAAAGTGAAAGGCCATCAACCCAAGACTAGAAACTTTAATCTACTGAATATTGGATGTCCGGCATTTCATAGTGTATACAATAGAGATGTATTAAACACGTTTGGTTATTTTTTTCCTAGTGGCTGGTATTTCAATGATTAACACATCTTGTTCAACCTCTAAACATGCTGAATGGCATGTTAGATCAAATAGTGATGTCCTATCTTTCTCTCCCTCTCCAGGTTCTGAAAATGACTATTTGATGGCTTTCTTTCAGCCTTAGGGTCTTGTTAAGATTAGGCTATTAGTATTTTTTGTTCAGAATCCGAAGAGATACACAAACTCTATCTGCCACTTTCTGTGGCTCCACTGTCCTGTATTACATGTCAGTCAGTGTGTAAAGGTGTTCAGCAGAGAGTAAATCCTCTGACTGATCATGAAATAATTAAATACTTGACTTTTGACATACAGGTCTCTGACACAAAACATCTCATGATGAAAGATCAAAATGTAATTTGTAGGGCTGTCAATTAATCGCAGTTAACTCATGCTATTAAAAAAATTAATCGCAGTTTAGTTCTGTTTAACAATAGAATACCAGTTGAAATTTATTAAATATTTTGGATGTTTTTCTACCTTTTTAAATATATTGATTTCAGTTACAACACAGAATACAAAGTGAACAGTGCTCACTTTATATTTTTGATTACAAATATTTACACTGTAAAAAAAAAAAAAGAAATAGTATTTTTCAATTCACCTCATACAAGTACTGTAGTGCATTCTCTTTATTGTGAAAGTGCAACTTACAAATGTAGGGGGTTTTTTGTTACATAACTGAACTAAAAAACAAAACCATGTAAAACTTTACAGCCTACAGGGCCCACTCAGTCCTACTTCTGGTTCAGCCAATCGCTAAGAGATACAGATTTGTTTACATTTACAGGAGATAATGCTGCCCATTTCTTATTTACAATGTCACCAGAAAGTGAGAACAGGCATTCACATGGCACTTTTGTAGCTGGCATTGCAAGGTATTTACGTGCCAGTTTTGCTAAATATTCGTATGCCCATTCATGCTTCGGCCACCTTCCAGAGGACATGCTTCTATGCTGCTGATGCTCGTTTTAAAAAAATGTGTTAATTAAATTAGTGACTGAACTCCTTGGGTGAGAATTGTATGTTTCTTGCTCTGTTTTACCCGTATTCTACCACATATTTCATGTTATAGCAGTCTCTGATGATGATCCAGCACACATTACTTGTTTTAAGAACACTTTCACAGCAGATTTGACAAAACACAAAGAAGGTACCAATGTGAGATTTCTAAAGATAGCTACAGCACTCAAACCAAGGTTTAAGTGCCTTCCAAAATCTGAGAGGGTCAAGGTGTGGAACATGCTTCCAAAAGTCTTAAAAGACAAAAACTGATGCAGAAACTACAGAACCTGACCCACCAAAAACAAAAATCAACCTTCTGCAGGTGGCATCTGACTGAAACGATGAAAACGAACATGCGTCAGTCTGCAGTGCTTTGGATCATTATCGAGCAGAACCGCCATCAGCATGGATGCATATCCTCTGGAATGGTGTTGAAGTATGAAGGGACAAATGAAACTTTAGTGCATCTGTCGCTAAATATCTTGCAATGCTGGCTACAACAGTGCCATGCGAACACCTGTTCTCACTTTCAGGTGACATTGTAAACAAGAAGCGGGCAGCATTATCTCCTGCAAATGTAAAGAAACTTGTTTATCTGAGCAAGTGGCTGAACAAGAAATAGGACTGAGTGGACTTGTAGGCTCTAAAGTTTTACCTTGATTTGTTTTTGAATGCAATTATTTTTTTGTACATAATTCTATGTTTGTAAGTTCAACTTTCATGATAAAGAGATTATTACAGTACTTGCATTAGGTTAATTAAAAATACTATTAGTTTTTTTTACAGTGCAAATGTTTGTAATCAAAAATAAATATAAAGGGAGCACTGTACACTTTGTATTGTGTTGTAATTGAAATCAGCATATTTGGAAATATAGAAAACATCCAAAAATATTAACATAAATAATATTCTATTATTGTTTAACAGTGCAGTTAATTGCGATTAATTTTTTTAATCACTTGAAAGTCCTAATAATTTGTGCTGATTTATCAGGCCCTTCTGTTAAAAGTTGGACTGGTAAGGATCACATAGGGAGTCGGATCGTAAACTTCTGTGTATGGCATTTTAATCCCCTCTTGTCCCTCTACTGTAAAATCCAGCATGTGAGATGACAAGATGGGTCTGTCGTGGGTCAGAGTACTCCATGTTTTGCGCAGTCCTTCTAACTGCTTGGCACTCAATAAAAGAGAGGACATTTTCTCTTTTGAAAAATAAAAAGATTGTCTGAGTGGGCTGCTACTCCTGAATCATCTAACATACCTAGAGAACAGTTTTTTAGCCTAGTAAGCCAGAGAATGGGTAATGCTAATTAACATGGGGAAAGAAAAATGACCATGGACAGGAGCAATGATTTTTATGTACTTTATTTTTAAAGAGAGTTGGTCCTAAAATGCTAGATCATGAAGGCAAGGAAGTTCCAGGAAACAGGGGTTACAAATATTTTGGAGCTGCTAAAGATTTACCGGGTGTCAGAGAGCTCTTTGAAAAGGAACGTAAGTAACTTTAGCTGCTTTTCAGAATTATTTGTTATTTCTGTATTGATGGGTGACTATCACAGATGCGAAGTTTCCCCCACTTCAGAATTGTGGCTTTTTCAGCCAGGATACATCAGTGATCTCTAGCATCTCTGTCATACAAAATGTGTCATCTGGAATGTAGGGTGAATCCTAGGGAAAAGGAGGTGGGCATACATATTAGGCTAGTGATCAGTCTAGTCCAGGGGTGGGCAAACTTTTTGGTCCAAGGGCCAGATTGGGGTTGCAAAACGGTATGGAGGGCTGGGTAGGGAAGTCTGTGCCTCTGCAAACAGCCTGGCCCCTACCCTCTCCCACTTCCCACCCCCTGACTGCCCCCCTCAGAACTCCTGACCCCTCCAACCCGCCCTACTCCTTGTCCCCTGACCACCCCCCCCAGTCCCCTGACTGCCCCCCTCAGAACCCCGGACCCATCCAACCCCCCCTCCACTCCTTGTCCCCTGACCGCCCGCGCAGAACCCCACCCCCTATCCAACCCCCCCTGCTCTGTCTCCTGACCGCCCTCCCTCCACCCGAACCTCTGCCCCATCCTCCTGCCTCCCCCTCCCCCCCCCCTTTCCATGCCGCTCAGAGCAGCAGGACAGGCTTACTGGAAAGCCTGGGGGGTGGGCGGGTGCAAGCTGCGCTGCCTGCATGGCAGCATGGTTGTGGGGGGGAGGGGCTGGGGGCTAGCATCCTGGGCCAGGAGCTCAAGGGCCGGGCAGGACGGTCCTGTGGGCTGGATGTGGCCGGCGAGCCGTAGTTTGCCCACCTCTGGTCTAGTCAGACATTTACCATAGTATAACTTAAGTCATCCATTAAAAGCTCTTTCCTTGACTGAGAAGAAACCCATTTATTTACATACCTATTCTTTCACAGCCATGATTATCTTGATTGGAATTAGATAAAATTGTTTTTCTGCACTCCCAAAGCTCAAATATTTTATATTCATTCAGTGACTGTTCCAAACAAGGGCAGGATGATAAAAGGGGAAATTTCAGAGTAACAGCTGTGTTAGTCTGTATTCGCAAAAAGAAAAGGAGTACTTGTGGCACCTTAGAGACTAACCAATTTATTTGAGCATAAGCTTTCGTGAGCTACAGCTCACTGCATCAGTGAGCTGTAGCTCACGAAAGCTTATGCTCAAATAAATTGGTTAGTCTCTAAGGTGCCACAAGTACTCCTTTTCTTTTTGCAAAAGGGGAAATTGTGTCTTCTCTTCCCTTCCTTATTTTACAGTCATGCTCCAACTCCTGTATCTAGTATGAAGTAGAGACCACACACTTTTCTAAGACAGGATGGCATGCCTGTAAGCTCATAAAACTAACCATTGGTTAAAATTATTTGATGCTGTCCTGTTAAAATGACTCTACCTGTGTTCAGCTCTCCACTCCAGATTTCATATTGACTAAATCTCATGAAAAGGTGCTTCTTGTATTCACTATAATGCTTAAGAATGTGAACTAACTTTGTAGTAAAAGGAAAAGGTAAATATCCTATGGAAAAAGTTTTTTCTTTATTTGTATGAGTTGGATTTAATCTAGCTTGTGAACTAGGTAAGCCATTGATCAGTAACAGTATAGCAGTCTACATATAGTTTCTGATTAATGGCCTATCTAATCTTCTATCTCAGTCATTTATTTTTTTTTTAAGAGGCAGGTGATCAATGGATATCTCTGTAATGTGTGTCTAGTGGACCTATTGACCCTTTGGCTGGTCCTAGCCAATCTTCTGCATAAATATTGCATAATTTGGTCAAGAGGCACTTGGGCCTAAAAGCCCAAATGGAACCATTTTATACTTTTTCCTCAGGAAGCCTTGCTCCAGAATCCCCGGGGTATGTCTACACTGCAATAAAACACCCACAGCCGGCCTGTCTTAGCTGACTTGGGCTTGCAGCGTTTAAGCTGCAGAGCTATAGTGTAGAAGTTTGAGCTTGGGCTGGAACACAGGCTCTGGGATCCTCCCCCATGCAGGGTCCCAGAGCCTGCTCTCCAGCCGCAGCCTGAGCCTGTACGCTGCAATTGTATAGCCTCACAGCCTGAGCCTGTGCGTCTGAGTCAGCCGACATGGGCCAGCTGCAGTTTCATTGCAGTGTAGACATAGCCACAGAGGGCCATATGGGATTTCCCTATCCACTTTTAGATATTGTCATCCACGGCTGAAGTAGGGTTTGTAGAACTCAAAGAAACTACTTTCTAGGAGCACTGGTTGGCAGCATGAAGCTGGCATCAATTAAAAGAAAATTGCCAGAAAGTGGAAGCTGATGGGAACGTGAGGGGTTAGGATGATGGTCAGATCTGCCTTGTTGGACAAATGGTACAGGGTTGATGTGATCCATGAGGACAGGACCAGCCCTCATGGATTGGTAGAATCACTTTTTTTTTGGGTCGTTGAGAGTGTGATGGTCTCTTGTTCCTTCAGCTCTCCCTCCTCCAAGGAAGACTCGAGCTGAGCTTATGAAGGCTATTGATGCGGAGTATTATGGCTACAGGGATGAAGATGATGGCGTCTTGGAGCCATTGGAACAGGAACATGAAAAGAAAGGTATGTGAAATCAAAAAGTCCTATATAAACTGGGTGCAGCTTCATTTAAGGCTGTTTCTGGTGTCCCGAGCTTGTTGCATGTAACCATCTCCAAGTTGCATGTTACTTAGTGCAGAAGGGTTGGTGGGGTTTTTTTTTTGTTTTTTGCCTTTACTTTTTAAAATGGTGCTTCACTGCCTTTTCTTCGGTGGTTTGTAGATCTTCATTGTACGTAGTTCTACCTACAGTGAATAAGCAGTACTCCTACCTTTGATAGTTTAACTTAGTGTACTGAAAGCTCTTTGATAGGAATATTTTTGTTGTCCCATTTAACTACTGTGCTTCCATTTAAAATAAAAAGGTAGGCATCTTCCTGTCACATTTTCTGGCTGTCTCTTGCTGAAATTTCAGCATAAAACTTTATTCAGCAACCTTTGACTAAGTTATATAAAAATCCAACTCAGGAAAACTAGCATATTTTCATTTAAAGAGGGGATGCAATTTCTCTCATTCCTCCATCTGCTTCCAAACAAAAGTATACAGCTGCAAGGACTAATTTTTTTTGGAAGCCAGCTGGTTTACACCTTTCCACTGGAGCCAGTGGGTGCTGGAGAGCCTGGATATCTAGATACTATACCAGGTACTGCCACTAACACAGGCTTTGGGCACGTTAGCCTCTCTGTACCCGTGTTCCCTGTCTGTAAAATGAAGATACCAGTTTCCCTGCTTTTGTGTAGAACTTTAAGGTCCACTGGAAAAGGGCTATACTAGCCCTGATTGCTAGTATTACTATGGTGGGGCATACATGAATTCAGTAGAACATCTTACAAAAAAAAGTCCATTGGAATGTAACCTAAACTTAGCATTTAGAAATGTGCATTGGTAAGACTGGTTAAGTTATTTATTGATCCTAAATGGCTTGCTGCATAAAGGAATAGAAACCATGTGTGTGATTGACCACCTGACTCCAGTTAGCCTAAGCATATGCTAAACTGTTATGTCTGTAATCACAAGGATACAGGGGAAACTAATCATTGTAATTCTTATATTATGGAAGGAATGAGCCTAAAGCAAATTAGATGAGCCACAGAGGAAATAGCTGAGCCGCTGTAATTGATTACAGGGGGAAGCTCTATAAATAGTTATGAAATACTGCCTTTCACCTGGTTTTTCTTCCCACTATGACCTCAATATTTACGGAGAAAACATTAGGTTGACTTGAGTTAGCTCATCTGCATAGCCAGTAAAAGTCCCAGGTTATACCTTCTTGAAATGAATATCTGTGTCGTTGTAGACTTGATATTATTCCATTGACTTCGTCCCTTTCTGGTTTACTTCAGTCTCTTTTGAATACATAGAGACAAACCTGTATTATATACTTCAGCTGAGTCAAATGATGTCAGAGCCACAGGTTATGCACTCAACCTTTTTTCAAGTCCCTTATAACAGCCTTTTCTTTCATGGCTTCCCCCCCTCATTTCTAACTGCAGGCTTGTTTTTCCTGCAGAGCTGTTCTTTTCGGATAGCTACTCTGTGACCTGATCTGACCATAAATGCTAATCCAGGCTGTGTAGTCATCAACTTGCATCTGTTCTGCTGCAGCTAGAAGGAGCAAACATTCAGTTGTAACATGTTTGAGCAGGCCCCATGTGTTGCACAATACACAGCACTTGAATTGAGCTGCAAAGCCAGGTCCCCTTTCACTACCTTCAATTTCAGTAGCACAGGAATGCTGAAAGCTGTGCAGTAGGGAGAGGTATATAGGAAACCATGTTAAAAGAAAAGGAGTACTTGTGGCACCTTAGAGACTAACAAATTTATTTGAGCATAAGCTTTTGTCACGAAAGCTTATGCTCAAATAAATTTTAGTCTCCAAGGTGCCACAAGTACTCCTTTTCTTTTTGCGAATATAGACTAATACGGCTGCTACTCTGAAACATGTTAAAAGAGAGCCTCTAAAGACTGCAGGGTGCTGCCTAGCTTCCTAGTTACTACAGGATCTAATGGTAGTGCCTCAAATCGGGGTCTTGCTGCATACCTAGGGTTGGAGCATAATTTGGCTTCCTCCTGGATGGAATGCGCAGGGACAGAAGTAGGTAAGAATAGATCAAGCTGATCTAAGGGAGTGGGTGATGATCTAGCAATGGTTGGACTGGTGAGAGTAGGAGGGTGCTTGGCGCACAAGGAGGGTTGGTAAAGGCAGCAGTAATAGTGTGGGACTGGGCTGCCATTGACTGTGGGATAGAAGCATTTGGCAGGAATGGGATTGGATCCTTTGTGGAAAGAATAGTGGGAAAGCACAGTGGAAGGAGTGGATATGAGAGTAGCAGGGATATGAGAGTAGCAACAGTTGGAATGTTGTGGGATGGAGCCTAAAGTGGGTGGAAGGTAGCAAAAGGTGGGAACAGGGAAGGGCTGGGAGCTCAAATACACAGAAAGGAGTGAAGCATTAGAGTGAAAATAAGATCTGAGCATATATAGGGGCTGGTGCAAACATTAAAAACGTCTAGTGTTTTATCTTGGCATCATTTGGTTACAGACAGAAGGGGTAGTATACTGGATTCACGTGACTGCTTAAGAAACTTTCTCCCCAAATGACACTGTGCCATCTGTAATAAATGGAGATGCTCAAGCCCCTTGGTTTGAATGCGGGGAAGCAGGGAATTTAATTGGTTCGTGTAAGGTGGAATTTGTTGGCCTCTGGAGCATGCTGTAAGGAATATATGTTTTCTCTAGCTTCTTTTGATTGGGTGGGGGTTCAGGGTTATGGGGTCTCATGAAGAAGGTTGTTATTTTGGTGGGCAATTCATTGGAGTTCGGGAAAATAATATTTTGGATTTTTAACGTGTGTGTGTTTCAAAAGCTTGTGTAAGCTCCTAGAATTGTTGGGATGGGTGCTTCAGATATTTTTTTTTTCCTCCCAGTATATGAAGGACTGCCCCAAAGTAGTAGCACATGACATCTTTAAGATGTTTTTAATAGAAAAATAAAGGTCACCAGTTATGTGAGACATCATCCAGGCTCTTTTATGGTCTGCTCATGTGAGATATAGAATTAAAAGGTTAAACACTACTTGAACTTTCCTAATTAGCAGTAGCTTTCTTTTTCATCACTTATGCTATCACGTAGCAGCACAGCTATATGACACTGGTCAGTTTTTTTTCTCCTGTAGTTTTGTTTCTTTACATGAGTAAAGAAGGGCTAGTAATTCCCTAGTTGCTGTCAAAGATGAAAAATTGCTGCTTTCTGGGTATTGTAACTCTAACTGCATGATAAGAAAGCTATTAGCAAATCTCTGTGGGCTTTTTAGAGACATTGCTGTCTTCTTTGCTAGGAGACTGACTAACCTTGAATGGTTGAGATGGGCTGTCATTGCATACGTTGGTAGTCCTTGCAGGATATTTGCAGGCTCATTTGAGATAGATGTGGACCCTAACGTGAAGGCTGCAATATCAGGTAAAGGCATGAAGAAAAGAGGAGTGGAGCAATGTTCACACTACTTATAACTTGAAGTAGCACAGCTACTGTTATGGTTAAGGGTGTATTAGCATTTGCAGTACCCCAGTATAGTAGCCCAACAGTAGTTATCCACAACATAAGGTCCCTACAACCAAGTCCAGTTACCTTAAATAGAAGTACATTTCATTTGGCATGGATTATAAAATGGAGAAAATAAAAATGAGTCGAGCAGAACGTGGTTTAACCATGTAGTAATTACTCGAGAAATTTTGTATTTGACAGCCTTATGGTACGTTAACTGCCATCAAGCAGCCTGTTTTCGTGTGCCTGCTTGCACTACAAATATAGCTGTGGTATTGAATCCATTTAGAACAGTGTTCCCTGGATCTGGTTCCAACACAATTATAGTGTGGAGTCTGGGCCATTAACCATGTTCTGTAACCAGTCTAACAACTTGGTCACGTTCAAGGTTCAGCCTGGTTACAGTGCAGTTCACACTAAGTGTGACTTTGTCTCCCTTTGGTAGATAACTACCTTTCCTTGTTTTGGGTCTTCCTCTGCCTTTGAACTAATGGACCTAGTCCTTTTGCTCAATCAGTAGAAGCTCATGGTTTTTAGATGGAGGTCCCAGGTTCAATCCCTGTGGATCTAACCAGGAGCATTGTTACAAGTGCATGATAAAAGTCTGTATACAAGAACTCAGAAGAATTAGCATCAGCTCTAGAACTGACTTTTTGTCTGACATTGCTTTTAAACCTAGTTATGTAGTATCTCCACTTTGTTTTTCTACCCAGTCATAGCAGAAGCAGTGGAAAAATGGAAAGTAGAGAAAGAGGCACGACTTGCAGGAGGTGACAAGGAGGAGGAAGAGGAGGAAATAAACATATATGCCGTCGATGATGAGGTACCACAGTGAATAAGAGACTGAAGTCTTGATAGCAATTAATAGGCTAGATAGCATGAGTATCCTTTGGATGTCTTCAGCATTAATTACTTGGAACCAGAATGGCTGCTTTGTTCTGAGGAGAATTTTGCTACCCTCTGTACTGTTTGCATGAGTCGGGCCCTACCAAATTTATGGTCCATTTCGGTCAATTTCACTGTCATAAGACTTTTAAAATCATAATTTTCATGATTTCAGCTATTTCAATCTGAAATTTCAGTGTGTTGTAATTGTAGAGGTTCTGACCCAAAAGGAGTTGCGGGTGGAGGGGTGTCGCAAGGTTATTGTAGGCGGGTTGTGGTACTGCTACCCTTACTTTTGCGCTGCTACCGGTGGTGGCACAGCCTTCAGGGCTGGGCAGCTGGAGAGCCACTGCCAGCAGCAGCGCAGAAGTAAGGGTGGCATGGTATGGTATTGCCACCCTTACTTCTGCTCTGTTTCCTGCAAAGCTGGGCCCTCAGTCAGCAGCTGCCACTCTTCAGCCACCTGGTTCTGAAGGCAGTGCAGAAATAAGGGTGGCATGGTATGGTATTGCCACCCTTACTTCTGCACTGCTGCTGGCGGGGCGCTGCCTTCAGAGCTGGGCACCTGGCACTCTCCGGATGCCCAGCTCTGAAGGCAGTGCAGAAATAAGGGTGGCAATACCGCAACCTGCCTAAAATAACCTTATGATCCCCCTGCAGCTCCCTTTTGGGTCAAGACCCCCAATTTGAGAAATGCTGGTCTCCCCTGTGAAATCTGTATAGTACAGGTAAAAGCACACACAAGACCAGATTTCACGGTCTGTGGTGCGTTTTTCATGGCTGTGAATTTGGTAGGGCCCTATGCATGAGTTTTTGGTTGATACAAATTAACACTAGAATGGGGCTTTTGATTCTAATGCATGCTTAGAGTGTGACCAAAGTCAGCAGGTTGGGAAGGCTTTTTCCTGTGATTGGAATGAAAACCAAGTAAGAAGACTAATTTTGAGTTTTTATTTGTGGGGGATGGCATAGATGGCATTTGAGATTCTGAATCTCTCAAAAGGTTTTTACTTATCAGTACAGATACGACAGTGTACATACAATATGTAGAATATTTAGTGTCTGTAGTTGAACTTAAGTTGTTTTGTGTACAGTAGAACTTCACTTATTCACACTTTGATGTACTACAAAACTATCCTCCAGCTTTTCTCTTCTGTGAAACACAGATTAGCAAGGTTCTGCAGGTGTTAATGAGCAGGGGTACTGCTGTGACATCACGCTTCCTGCAAGGCAGTGGGGGGAGTGCATGTCACTCCTAACCCTATCCCACACTCACTGAGACCTTGAGATAGGGCTACTTCTGTCTCCCTATTCCTGGGAGGTCAGCAGCATTGCAGAAGCATGTTCTGATCGCTTGCATGCAGCTCTGCTGGGCCTGTCATAGGAACTAGTCTAGCTGACAACGTTTGCCTTGCTGTTCCCCCACCACCTTGCTCTGTCTATATCTGTGCTAACTCCCATGGCTACATTGAGCCCAGCGGTGCGGAGTGAGGTGACAGCTCTTGAGCAACCACTCAACGGAAAAATGGCATGGCTGTCTCTGTAAAGGCCCCAATCCCCTGCCTGAGTTAACTAGTTTCTCTGCACTGCCCCAGCTGAGAAATGTGGGAAAAGTAAGAACATGGCTCCACATCCATGTGGAGAAATGTGGGAAAAGTAAGAACATGGCGCCATGCATCAGCAGCACAAGGGGTGGCACCTGGTACATAGGAAAATAAGCAACTCTGTTTTAGGACTTTAAATAGCAGGGTAAGGGTGGTGTGATACTTCCCTATTGCTACGTGGAGTGCAGTGTCTCCTACAGTGGTCATGCCCTTAGCACTTTGTGGTTCTCAAGTTTCAATAATTTGCCTTGGGATTGCCTCTACTACTGCAGATCAGTGAGGTTTAGCTGTAGTAACCTGTTGATGGAAACTGCAAAATAAGCTTGTTTAAACTTCTTTCATTTTGTAGTCTGATGAGGAAAGCAGCAAAGAAAAAGAAGGCGAAGAAGGCCAGCAGAAATTTATTGCCCATGTTCCAGTGCCATCACAACAAGAGGTAAGAAATAACTGGGAGACAAAGGCACAAATGGACATTCGCAGGCTGTTACAATGCAGGACCTCATTAATGGCACACATCCTATAGAAAGAGTTCCCTACTGGTTAAGGGGCAGAACTCCTGGGTTCTCTTCTTGAATATTGGCTCATTATGGAAATCACTAAAGCTCTTCACCTCCATTTACCCATCTTTTGAAATGGGGATGTTTACCTTCCAGGAGCGTTATCAGACATAACGTTTGTAGTTTTGAATGTTTTCCTCTGAGAGTCTCAAACATTTTGTAAAGTAGTGTGCAAATAAGAATATACTTTATGATGGGTTACTCGAAAGATAATCCTGGTTTGCTACCAATAACTTCCTAAGTTTTTGAGTTTGGAGTTTTAGCATCTGGCTTTTTTCTTGTTAACTTTTAATGCCTCTATTTTTGATTGCTTTGTTTGTTTAGGGAATCAAGTGACCATTCTTAAAAATGGCCCTGGTTAGATGAGCCTGAAATCAGTCACTCTTTTTCTGTTCACTTTTGAAATTGTTTTAGGGTACATACTTAGCTTAATTTATCAATTTACCTGAAACAACTCTTGAGACTTCTCACCCAGTTTATGTTTACCTAGCACTAGATGTGCCTCTGCCTCACACAGATACCCCATAATGCTTGGCACCAGAGCCTCAGAGGAAAGAGAGGACAACAGTAATATATCCATATGAAATGGTTGATAAGCAGTGTTAATCTATGCTAAAATGAGATGGCAAAATTATAGGAGAGAGAAATGCTGCAGTCTGAATAGCAGTACTGTTGATTTAGTGAGCACAGCCCTGTGAGGAACAGTCAGAACAGGGTATCTGATGCTGAACTACTGTTCAATGATGTAGGCAAGGGGAATTATAGGGGGATTCCAGTTGTAAAGCAAAAAAGTTGTCTCTTGGGTAAATATATGCAAGTGTTAATGGACCAGACCCTTTTATATGCAAGTGTTACTCATTGGAATATAATAATCTGTTTCTAATGACTAAATCATCCATTTTTTATTTTAATGTTTACCTATTGCAGCCTAGAGCTAGAGCTGAAGAGGAAGTTATTTTTAATCAAAATCAGAGTGGATATAATTTATAATGGTGTTCATTCTCTGAATGAATAAACTTTTTAAACGTCATGTACTAGGTACAGTCTCATTCAGACAAATATGTAATAGTTTTTAATAGGAATAACATTGATTTTGCAGTGTACTTGTGAATAAGAATTATGTGGATTTCAAAAGGAATGAGGAGTGTATTTTAATTATCTTGTGATGTTTGTATAGAAATGCCAGTTTTACATTAACTAAGCTTTGTACCTCTTCTGATGTAAAGGTTCCTGAAAAAGGTATGATCAATAATAAGGCCTTATCCTAAAGATATAAATCAGTGTAGGTGCAATTCCACTTCTTATTTTGTACTCCTTGTGGTGATATTTGACTTTCAGAGGGAACAATTAGAGAGATGGGGAAAAATAAATGACAACACTGATTGTACAAGTGGAATTGCATCTGCTGATTTATATCCTTAGGACAAATGTAGAACTTGTTGATCATTTTCTCCTTGGCAACCTTTTAAATGAAAAATCCATATTTTTTACATGCAATTGGAATTTCTGCACAAAACTTTTGAAATACTAGAGCTTGGTTTAGACCAAAACCCAGGATCTGAACTTTCTCATGTGTTTGGAAGTTCAGATCCAGACTTTGTGGCTAAGGGCTATCTCTTTAAAAAACTGTTGTATGTGTTTGAGCATAGATATAGAGTTCAAGTGAAGATGTTTAATCCTGTAATTGTGTCAGAAACCTAGTGGTGATTTTATTAAGACTGCAACATATGCAGGCAGTTTATTGCTGTTTTTTAAATAAAAGAAACTTGTCTTGTTTTCCAGACTTTGAAATGAAAAGTAAACAGTACAAATTAATTAACCTATTGTGGTATGGATTTGGCCTACTTTTAGAGCTGTCATGTTTGTGCATCCAAATCTCATTGCAAAGCCCTGTAATGGGAAAATGACTCACTTGAATTATTTTATCCAATCAGAGTTCTGAGCAGATTGTCATATTCAATATAATGGAAGATGAGTCAGTCCACAGAAGCTTTTTAAATACTAATGTGCAGTAGCAAAGCTGTAAAGTCATCAGTTACTTCCATTCCAGTGATAGGCTTTGCTGACCGGCATTATTTTTTAGCTGAACGTTGGGAGCAATATGAATACTATTGCTGCTTCTGTCCTGTGCAGTACCGCTTTCTGATAAAAGGTCAACTTCTTCCAGCCTTCACAGGCTGCTTTCTTTTCTGCCTGATCTAGAATCTCTGGGTTTTAGTGATTGAACTGAAGGTTGAATGATTTTATGTTTTGTATTTGCAGATTGAGGAAGCTCTTGTCCGTAGAAAGAAGATGGAGCTCCTCCAGAAGTACGCCAGTGAAACTCTCATGGCACAAAGTGAAGACGCTAAAAGACTCCTAGGGTTGTAGTGTCTCACCACTTAGTAGCATGATTTTTTAAAAAATTTTTTTACAATCCATCCTGACAGCAGTTACTTTGATCCCCTAAATATAGACTCATCAGCAACTGTTAGTCTTTGCTAATGCTAAGAATAAAAGATGATCCTCCTGCATATTTTCCTAAAAAATTCCAGTGTTTTAGGTAGTCTACTCCATATAGGTTTGTCCTCTCATCTGTCTCCACCCTAAGGAATGTATTTGTTGTCCCTCAGTCTCAAAAAATGACCAACAAAAATAAGTTGGCCTCCTTCATGTTTTCAGTACTATTTTTTTTTTCTAGCTTCCATTTATTTCCCCTACTTCCCTGTTTTCCCTTTTCTCTAGTGGTCACTTCCATAGCGACCACTCTTGAATGGAAAAGCAAACCAAAGAGTTTCCTTCTGAAGCCAGAGGAGATGTCCTAGGAGTGACATGGCTGGCAAATACTTTTCATTCCTCCACATTCTGACTGTTAATTCTGCCGTCCTATGATGACCTCTAGGTGCAGGTCTGCTAATTCTAAACTATTAGGATAGCCTATAACCTGTTAGTCTGAGATGGAGTTTGAAGACCGTTTCCATGATTATTTCATAAATTTCGGAAAAATAACTCAAACTCTGAAGAAGTAACCTCTCAATTATCTGCCCAAGTGGTGCAGTTTTCTTGTAGTCTAAACTTCTTTTCCTGCTATGATTCATAACTGTTTCTGGATGGATTACTAGAGTGCTGGATATTTCAGCAATTATTGTAATTACTTTTTCACCTTTGTAATAAGTTACTCATATCTTTTTAGTAAAGCATTTTATACAAACTAATTTTTTTCTATATTGTTTTCCATCTGACTCAAAATAATGTGTTTTCTCTTTACTATAACTAGAGAAGGGAAGTCATAAGATCCCTTAGCCAGAGGGCTGTTAACTCTCACATCACCAGCTGCTCTTGGCTGCTGTAGCACATGATGAGGCAATCTCTGAGGTACCGAAGCTATGTAGTTTTAATAACTTATGAAACCTGAATATCTTATAGTGTACAGGCATGAATGGAGACTAACTGGAAGTCACTCCTGTTCACAGAGCATAGTGTGTGAGAAATGTAGCATTCAACAAACAGGCAGATTCTGTGCTACCTAAAGTTCCCAGGCAGTCTTAAAATGTAGCCCCTGTGTATTGCATTGCAGTAATCCAGTCTGAAGGTGGCAAAGGTATGGATTACTGTGATGAGGTCTGTATCTTGCCTAGTACAGATATTTAAAAAAAATAAAAGCACTCAAGGCCACTACTGCTATTTCTAGACCTACAAGAAGAGTAGAGAATCTGTCAGAGTCTCTGCTTCTACTCAACACCTAAATTGGAAACCTGAGTAACAAATACACATCTACCTCAATCAAAGGAGTTGATAATACTACCACAATTTACTGAGTCTTTTTCCTAGCTACCCAGCATAAGATCAGTTGTTTTTGGGCTGAGTTTTTGCCATTTTACCCTAATCTGAACTCTGATTTTGGTCAGCCACTGTGGTAAGGGCCATCAGCTGTTACCATACAGGTCCATTGAAACAAACGTAAAGATGGGTGTGACCTGCATATTGAAAGCCCCTCAGCCTGTACCACTTCACTAACTTCTCTGGTAGCATCTCATGTGTTGAACAGGATGATTGCCAGAAACCTACTGCTTGAGAGAGCCCTTAGAGCAGCTGAGCAATTGCTCAATGCTGTCCTCTGGATCCTCTGAAAATGGAGCTCTTCAAACAGGGGCTGCAGCTTTTCAACACCATCTTGTGCTCAGTGACAGTAAAAGCAACATGAACACTTGAAGTTTTTAAAAACATTTTATCCACTTCCACAAAAACCTACCACCAAGACCCAGTGCGATGCCCTATGCTATGCTCTGGGGTAAAACTGCATTGAGTAGGGTCAGCAAAGCCTATAAGGACTTCAGATATTTTCAGAGTAGTGTTTGTTACACCATAACGTGGTTTATGTAACGGGCTTCCGTGTGTTTTAGCAACATGACTCAACTACTTTATGAAAATTGCTGTATGCAATGATTTTTATCCCCATACACATGGAATTACAGTATGCTAAGGTAAAATGAGAGCAAATAAGAGGTAGCTGGAAAAGATGGTTTTTCAGAAGAAATTTGAAAATGGGTCATGAGAAGAATACCAGCTGCCGAAAAGGGTTGTTTCCACTTAGCAACTGAAAGCTTATTTAGTTTTAATGTGGAAAAACAGATATAGTATGTAATTATAGAACATAATTTTAGGCTGACTGTTGCATTAATGTCTTGCCTAATTGGGTTAATTTGACTGACTGTAGGCTCATGACCAAGATTTGACTCAACCAGTTTGTTTAGCAAGCTTGTTTAATTTAATTCCCCCTCTTTTCTCTGTAAAGAACATTGATGGGAAAGTCATGGTAATTGTTTGTAGAAGAGGGTTAATGAATGGGAGACATGAGCACCATAAGTACTTGTGTTATAATACTATAGCCCTTTCACTTCATTTAAAGACAATCACAGTGCTTTCAGGCCTTTGCTAGTTTTTTCTCTTAAGAGTTCAATTTCAGTAGGCTTATGCAAAAAATCTAGTATTAACATCCCACTGAGGATAGCCATGAGATGGTGTGCTAAGACACAATTTAGGAGTCTTTGACAAGCTGCAGACCTTCTGGAGGAATGAACCTCCTAAGTAGGTTTGTGCAACCATTGCACATTGTTTGATCCTTATGCCATATGAAGGATATAGCTACATGCAGCTCTTAAGCAGTGGTTATCAACCCCTTCCATGCTGGGATCCATGTTCCACTTAGCAATATGGGAAGGGCAGAGTGGTTGTGACCCTCCCCCAGTAGCTGTTTGACTCCTGGGGAGTGGGTCATAAAAACGTCAATTGCTATTCAGTTACTTTCTGGCCTACATTAATGTTTAAATATGCTTGAGCAGATAACTAAGAAAGGTATGATGCTGTCAGCTTTTGCTCTTTACCTTTTTCTTTAGGTTTGCAGATAAGAGCTGCTGACTGCTTTGTGAGCAAGTCTCCTTTCCTACACAAGACAGATGCCAATACTGTTTCCCCAGGGCTCCTGGCCTGGAGCCTCCTTAGCTAGCAAGAATCAGTCTCGGGATACTGCTTAGAAATAGGCCCTTTAAGAGGGCATGCTGAGTAGAGAGGTCCTGTAGGACCCATATTTATGAACCAGCAACATTGGCTCAACTAAAGTACCTGAACCCGAGCCAAGGAAACATGAGAAGGGTCCTAGAAGAGCCAGCTTCTTCTCCCCAGTGGTAAGAAGCCATTAATGGGGCTTGGAGTTTAGTAAATCAGCAGGCAGCTTACTGTAGCCTTGTCAGTCCCAGTCTCCAAATCCTAGTATCCTGAGAAGAGTGACCAGAAGGATTTGCCAAAATAATTTTACTGTTACAATTATTCCAGATTGTATCTGGAAAGATCCTGTAATCCTGTAGCCTTCATACTCCTACACTTAGGATTCAAAACCTTCAGCAAATTCACCTACTTCCCCAGGTGTATTTCTGATCATTCACAGTAGTTCTGAGCCTATCCCACAACCCTTATTCGTGTGAGTAGTTCCACTGAAGCAAATGGAACTGTTGACAAAAGTGTTCCAAAACTGGGCGCTCTGATTGCTCTCCCCTGGTCTAGGGCAGTGGTTTCCAAACTTTTTTTCTGGCAACCCAGTTGAAGAAAATTGTTGATGCCCGCGACCCAACGGAGCTGGGGATGAGGAGCTTGGGGGTGAGGGCTGTGGGGTGGGGCTGGGAATGAGGGGTTCAGGGTGTGGGAGGGGGCTCTGGGCTGGGGCAGGGGGTTGGGGTGCAGGAGGGGGTCTGGGCTGGGGATGCAGGCTCTGGGGTGGGGCTGGGGTTTGGGGTGGAGGAGGGGGCTCTGGGTTTGGGGGCAGTTCAGGGCTGGGGCAGGGGGCTGGGCTGCAGGAGGGGGTCAGGGCTCTGGGCTGGGGGTGCAGGTTCTGGGCTGGGGCCAGTCATGAGGGGTTTTGGGTGCAGGAAGGGGCTCCGGGTTTGGGGGGGTGCTTAGGGCTGGGGCAGGGGATTGGGGTGTGGGGTCGGGGCGCAGGCTTACCTTGGGCGGCTCCTGGTCAGCAGCGCAGCGGGGGTTCAGAGGCATGCTTCCTACCTGTCCTGGCACTGTGGACCACGCTGCGCCCCCGGAAGCCGCCAGCAGCAGGTCTGGTTCCTGGCTCTGCACGGCTCTCTCCTGAATGCGCTGCTCCCCCCACCCCTCCAGCCAATGGGAGTGTGGAGCTGGTGCTTGGTGCAGGGGCAGCACATGGAGTCCTGTGGCGTGCCCCCTGCTCCCCCTGCCTAGGAGCCAGACCTGCTGCTGGCCACTTCTGGGGTACAGCACGGTGTCAGAACAGGTAGAAATTGGCCTGCCTTAGCCGGGTAGCACTGCTGCTGGGACTTTTAACGGCCTGGCTGGGGGTGCTGACCAGAGCTGCTGCGACCCAGTGCCTTACATTCTGTGACCCGGTACTGCCTCACGACCCGCATTTTGAAAACCACTGGTCTAGGGCACTTTCTGGTTGTCTCTTGGCTCACGAAAGCCTGCAAATAGTCTGGTCCTAGCCTTGTGTTCTATAGTTATTGTACTGCACGCATGGGGAATGACTTTCATTAAGATATCTGCTGACTTCTTAATTGACCAACACTAATGTAATTTTATCTAATCATTCTACCTCGTGGCTGTATCTCACATGACAAAGTATAAGATTAAAAGTCAGGCCTGTCCCATTTTTTGTTGAACAAAAATTACCATAACATTTTCCTTTCTGAAATGCAGATTCAGGAGACAAATGACATTCTGAGAGACCCTACCATCTTGCACACTTACTATTTGTCCTCCTACACTGCTCAGATTCTTTTGCCTGTTCCTGTGTGTAGAATGCCTTAAACTCTATATTCCTCCTTAACTCAGTTGGACTTTAAAGTCCATGACAACTTAAAATTGTTCTCGTATTTTTTGCTTCCCTCTTTCTAGAGACTTTGCTTTACAAATTTGTTTAGCGTACTTCTGGGTCTCCACTAAGAAGCTTTATCTTTGACCTTTTCTCACCTTCAGTACTATATCAAAAGATGAGAGCAAGAAGTCCATAATAGGATTACTGCACCATGGTTGGTTTGTTCCTGTTCTGCTTGCCAGCTGGGTACTGGTGTGACGTCCTTCATCTGCATTAACACTTTCCTCCCATCTGTTAGCAGTATGACCATATTAATCTTATCCTGACTGCTCCACTTCTGTTTGATATCATTAGTCTTATGACCAGTTTTGCCACCCCAAGCAGTCGTTGCCGAATAGCCGCCGTGCCCGGAAGACCGCCCAAAAGCCGCTGCGGTGGGAGGAGCTGCTGCCAAATTGCTGCTGCAGGACACAGACTGCTGCCCCATGCTCAATGCCACCCCAAGCACCTACTTAGAAAGCTGGTGCCTGGAGCCGGCCCTGCTTATGACCTGAGCTATTGTACATTTTTCAATCTAAACCCCACAAATAACCTTTTAGTGTCACTCCAGCTTTTTCCTTTTGGCTCTGCCATAACCTCTGCCTGGGAATGCTGTGGAGTGCTTTGCAGTATGGCTGCAGGCCATAGTGTAGAGTCTTTAGTAGTACTCGCTATTAACTGGTTCTTGACCGCTGACCAACTATCCACACTTGCCTCCTACGCCCTCTTTGAAATGGTCAATTTCCTTTCCTGTCTCCAGGCTCTTCAAATTCTGACTAGTTGTGCTGCTCAGTCAACTTTACTATTGCTATCACCACTTGTTGCCTTTGCTCTTCACGT